TGGAACGCCGCCTGCCTGAAATGGAGGCCGGGCGGAGCAGGAAAAAACAACAGACGGGCGGCTGCTGCTGGGATTCCCCTCGACTCCACAACCAGGAGGCGACTCCGGAAGGAAAAAGCTCCACTCTGGCCCCCATTTCAGGCAGGCGGCGTTCCAAAGCAAACCCCCCCCCCCCCGCCAATAACAGTCCTTTTCTGTGACCAGGTGGAGCCTCCAGGGCTCCTGGCTCTGGAGTAGCCCGCAAGCCCTGTCCCAACCCTCCCCGGTTCACCCTCGGCAGAAACTTTTGGGGCCTGCGATGGGAGCAGCCACCTGTCCTGCTGCTTAGAAGATGCAGAAGGTTCTATATGAGCCTTATAAGGGTCTGGCACCCAAAGTAGCAGAAGCAAGGAGAGCCTTGGGGTGCTGAACCACTTGCACCGGGGATCGCGTCCATCTCTGCACTTCCCAGAGGCTGAATAACACGGAAGCGGGGGCGAGCGAAAGGGCCCCCCCGCCTGCCTGCCTGCCTGTCTCCAAAGCCTGCTGGGGAGGGGCAGGGGCCCTCAAAGGCAGCCTTGGCTGAGCCCTGGAGGGCCAAGGGCAGGGGGGGGCCAGGAGGGCCTCTGCTAAGGTTGGGGTGTCGTGGGGCTCATCTCTGGGGTGCAGCCGAAGTCCCCACAGAACAGAGGGGGATTCTGCTCCCCCGAGCCCCCCCCACCAGCCCGCTCTGGGTGCCGCAGGGAACGTGAGGAGCAGCAGATAAGGCGGCATTCTCTGGCTGGGCAGCCCTGAGCTCACATTTTCCACAGCGCAGATGGCTGGGCGCCTGGCCTGCAGGGAGGAGCCGCTTTGTCCTCCGGAGGGCTTGGCTGGCCGCGGATGCCTCCAGCGGGGGCCCTGGAGAGGTCTCTTCCCTTCCCAGGGGCAACAGGTGGCCATTTAGATGTTCCCTCTTCCCCACTGCAGCCCCTGGACCAGCAAGTGCTGCAGTGAGAACAGAACTCCCTTTGCAGGCAGGGTCTGCGTGAAGGTGGGGGTGCCTGGTCAGGGCTGCTCAAAGGGTCGCCCTCGGCAGCCTCCAGCCCTCCATTTGCCCCCCAGGGTCCTTCAGGTAACAACCACCTTTCAGGGATTGTTTTCTTCTGCCTTCTTATTTTTATTAGCCACTCAGAGCTTCAGAAATGTGTTCCGTTACATAAATAGGATACTTCAAAGCGAGGAATGCGCCTGCCCTTTGGCAGCCGGGCAGGCCACAATCCAAATAAAGTCGCTTTTGTGGGGTTACTTAGGCGGGGCAGACCACAAACATCCCCTCGGCTGCAGGAGGGCTGCCTGTTCGGGGCTGCATCAAGCCAGGAGGATTTGCTTTTGCCACGGGGTGGGGTGCGGGGTGGGGTGCCCCCCCCCACTCATTTTGGCACCTGGAGTTAAGGCCCGACCAGAAGTTGGCACACAAAGGGGACTTTCCACCCTTCCGGGGCTGGTGCCCCCCTTAGACCCTCAACTTGGGAGGGTCGCTGCCGCCCGGCTGCCCAGGGCTTCGGGGAGCCGCCCCCACGGACGGCCAGTGGCTGGAGGAGGGGCGGGCTTGGCTTTGACCTCCCCCGTTTTCTGGAGATCCTGGCAGGGACAGCCCCCCCCCTCCCCGCGCCTCTTGGCAGCACGAGGCTCGGCAGACCCCGCCGCCCCTGGGCCCCATCGCCCCAGAGCCTGGAAGGCGGCGGGGCTCCGAGGGGCGGCCGGGTTCCCCGTTGAAGGCCTCGGCTGCCAACTCCCCGCAGAGCCCCGGCGCCCCCGACGAAAGCCAAGCCGGGCAGAGCAGCCCCCTCGGCGGCCCTCCCGCCCCCGGAAAACCGGGCCAGACTCACGCGAGGAGGCAGGACAAGCCGAGCGCCGCAACAGCAGCTGCCGGGGCAGGTCAGCCCCGGCCCAAGAGCTCCCGGCCCCCGAGCAGGCGAGCCAGGCCGCTGCAAGCGCCTCCTCCGCGGCGAAGCTCCCCGGGGCCCGAGCCGGCAGTCCGGCCGGAGGCGCAGCGCCCGCTCCTTCTCCGGCGCGGTTATCGGCAGCGCCCAGCGGGGCCCCGCCCGCCTCAGCCGCCGCAGCGGCCCCTCCGGCCCGGCCCGCCTGGAGCGCGCAGATAAGGGCGCCCGGCCGCCTGCAGAGCCTCCCAGGAGCCCGGCGGGACCGAGGGAAGGCAGCGCGCTCCGGGGCGCGGAAGAAGCGGGGCCGCCGGGCGGAGAAGCGGCCTGCGGCGGGCGGCGGCCCCTCCCTGCCGCCCCGGCCCGGCGCCCCCTCGGGCCCCGCGGGGAGGGCGGGGGAGGAAGGGCGCTTGACGGCGGGCCAAAGGCAGCGGGAGCCTCGGCCGGCCCCCTCCCCGGCCTCCCTCCCGGCCAGTCAGCGGCCCCACTTGGGCTTTCAAACCGGCCGAGGAGCCGCCGGGCCCCCATTTTCCTTCTAGGCAGGCGGGTTTTTCTGTGCCGGGGCGGGGGTCCCGCTTCCCCGCCTTTCCACGAAGGTCGCGCCCAGCGGCTCCTGGCCTCAGCCCGGCCCGCTCCTTCCCTTTGGCCCCAGGGGAAGCCGCCTCCCTTCCTGGCCCCGAGGCAGCGCAAAGGAAGGAGGCCTTGTCCCAAGGGATGGCCGAGGGACTGCAGTGGCTGCTTCCTCCGTCCAGAGTCCAGGAGAGCCTCTGCAGGTGTCTCCCCCCCCGACCCCCCCCAAGCCGCCACCATGCAGGCAGACAAGGAAGAGGGGGGGGAGGGAAGGAGGGCATGGCCTGCCTGTCGCCTTTCCAAGACCGAGTGCAAGTGAGGCCGAAACAGTCCCCAAGATGAGGAGAGACCACCGGCATAAATGCTCCAGCCAGCCTCTCCTCCCTGGGCTGCAGATGCCCCCCATTTCCCTCCCAGGCGGTTCTTCATCCCTGCAGGCCAAACCCAAGAAGAAATTCACTGGCCAGGCCTGGACTTCCTTCTGATGCCACCCTGGCTACTACGATGCTCTCCCAGCCTCTCCTGCGTTTCCCAGGTCGGCTTTCATTTGCACAACTCGAAACACAGGGATGATGTCCTCGGAGGAGAAACCAGAAATCTATTTCCAGTGGCAACAGGTTTCAGGGTTCCACTGCAGACGGTGCAAGTGCGCACAGTCCCGGGATTCCTCTCCCCAAGTGTGGCGTAAACCCCAGGACGACCGGGGCCTCTTTTGCCGGCCCCATGGCTGAAGAATTCCCTTTCTGCGGCTGCATCTGGAAGAGCCTCGGGGAGCCGTTGCTGCTGGGCTGGGCTGCCCGTGATCCAGCACCTGCCAAGTGGCCCTCTGAGCACCCCGGTTAGATGGCGGAGAGGGGGAGCAGGCAAGGCTTCGGGGGTCTTGCAAGTCCCCTGAAACAGTGGGAGGGCCAAGAAAGCACCTCTCTCTTTTCCTTGGTGGTCTTCTGTGAACAGCCCCCCCACCCCTCCCGGATTGGGCCCACATGTAGTCTGAAGACGGGTGGGATGATCGTACCGAGGAGTCTCTTCTTCCGGGGGATCCAATGGGGGCCCCCAGAAGTATGTGGGGTCTTTGAAGCCTGCCCTTCATGTGAATCCTCTCCTTACTTCCCCTCCGTGTGATCTTTGTGGGTCTTGGAGTTAATCCATCTCCCCTTGAGTCACCTGAAGCGATCCAGGTGAAGGGAAAAAACCCTTTACCTCTTCTCTGCCATAAACACATTTTGTCTGGGCAAGCAGGTGTCCAGTAATGTATTCTAAACGCTTTTAGAACGCAGATGCTAAATGTGACATAAAGCATAAAAATAAAACGTACTTTTATTTTATGCACTTTCATTGTGGCATTGTGGGTACTTGCTCAGGGAGTGTGGAAAAATCTCTCTCCAACTGGGGTTTGGGCAGAGAGACTTAAAGGGCGTTTTAAGGGCAGCAAATCCATCCGGGTCCCTATGAGAAACGGAAGCTTTTTGCTTGGGCCCAAGAGGTGGGAGGGACAGGCGGCCGTCTGCTCCCACTGAGCTCTTGCAAACAAGAACCTGGCTATGATTTCTTTAGGCCTGCGAGCCTGACTTCCTGATAGTAGAGTTGCCCAGAATCAGAGGGATAGAAGCTTCTCTGCACTGATTGGGGGTGAGAGGATTTCTTTTCTTCTGTTGTCTCTTCCCTCCTCTGTGGAATTATTCCCTGTGAACTTCCAGAGCTGATAAATGGCAGAACGGCCAATGGTGAGAAGGACCAACCTCCTTCAGCGAGAATCTTTCTTTCTGGATCCAGCCAAGGGGCTGCAGGGAAGAATGGCCACTGGGGGGGGGGGGGGCTCTGGGCTTGGCTCCGGGGCTCAGCACACCATGTGCCGATAAGCCATGATGGGTGCAGTGGCGGTAAGTTGTTTTGGTAGAAACATCACTAGAGAAACACCAATTTCCAAAGCACTTCAGTCTTGTAGGTTTTGCTGCAAGGGCTTTGCTTTCTCGTGGATGCATTTTTTCCCCCTGACATTCCACTGCGGCCTATAATTCTGTCACATAAATGTACTATTCTGCATCTTTCACTCTAAGACAAGAGAAAGCAGCTTTGACATTTCTTTTAAGAGCTGGAAGGGAGCTACATGGGTGTGCAACCCACTCTTGAAGGAGCTGTCACCAAGGCAGAGTAGCCTCTGTGCTGTATTGGATTTTCCTTTCCTACCTAGATGGTTTTCATTTTGCAAATTATCTGACCTACTTTTATTTCCTCTGAAAATCTAATGTGTCTCCCTTCCCGCCGGGCATGGGCCCTGGCGCAGCCTGCTTGGCCCCCCACTCCAGCTGGGGGAGGGCCCGCCGACCAGCCTCTCCCTGCCCAGCAGCTCCCCCAGCCTCCAGGAAAGGCCCCCAACCCATTCCCAGGTTCAGGCCACGGCCTGGTTCCTTCCCCCTTGACCGACCGAAGCTCTCGGGGCTTCTTCTCTTGCCCCCAACCCAACAGACCCGGAGAAGGCAGCCATGAAACCTCGGGGTTCAGCCGCCGGAGCTGATCGGGGGACTGGCAGGCCGGGCTCCCCCTTACTCCCCCCACCCGAGAGAGGGAGCCTCCAGGGCGGGATCCTCAGGGGCGGAAGGCCCGCCTGCCCTGCCCGCCTGCCGCGGGGCCAACGGGGGCCTGGGAGCAGCCAAGCGGGGAGGCCAGCTTGCCCTCCGCGGCAACCACCCAGGAGCGGCGCCGTTGGGGCCGCCTCGCCGGCAACGCCCGTGGGTGGGGGGGAGGGATACGGGGACACAACGGCGGCCGGAGCCGAGCCGGCCACTGGAGCGGCGCAGCCGGCGAGCAAGACAGGCGCATGCGCGCTTCGGCCGCCGCCACCTTCCCCTCGCCGTGAAGCGCGCCAGGCGAAGCGCCGGGCAGGGGCGGCCGGGCGGGCCGGGCCCGAAGGAGGCGGGGGCTGCCCGGGGCTCTCCCAGCTGGGCCCGGACCGCCGCCTGAAGAGCGCGCCCCGCCCGCCCGCCCGCCCGGCACCCCGCCTCGTCCGGCTGCGGAGGCCGAAGGGCGCAGCGCCAGGGCGGGGAAGGGCCGCCAAGGGTCTCCGGCCCCCGCAGCGGAGAGCGGCCCCCGACCGGCTCGGAGCCTCCTCCGCGGAGCCACCACCCCCCCGCAGACGCCCACCGAGCGCGGCTGCCAGACCCTCCGGTCGGCCGCGGGTCCTTCTCCCGGGGAGGCCGGCAGGTGCAGCGGCGCCACTTCCCGCCCGCCGGAGCCTCCCGCCTCCCCGCCAGCGCCTCCCGCCCAGGGCCCCCTTACCGGCGGGGACGGGAGGCGCCGCACAGCGGGGGAAACGGGCGCCCCGCCGAGCCGCTCCCTCTGCCCGCCCCCTGCGGCTCCGCGCCTGGGCGGCCTGGCCGGGCGGAGGGGAGACGAGCCGCGCCGTGACGAAGCAGGACTGGGCGCGCCGGGCGAGGCGGAGGGCGGGCAGCTCTCCGGCCGCAGCCCCGCCGCCCCCGCCGCGCCTCCCTGCCCGTCGGCCGCCCCGAGCGCCGCTTCCGCGGCCCCGGTTCCCCCGCGGAAGGCGGACCGGCTGCCCCGCGCCCGCAGCGCCTCCCTCGCGGGGCCCAGCGGCGCAATCGGGGAGCTGGAGCGAAGCGGCGCAGGAGGAGACCCGCCTCTCGCCCCAAGTCGCCCCGGTGCCCCCCTCCGCCTCCGGGCCTACCTTCACTGGAGCCGCTCCGTCCTGGGGGCGCCATCCGCCCCGCGGCCAGCATCTCTTCCCCGCCGCCGCCGCCGCCGCCGCGCCCGTCACCTCCGCGGCTGAGCAGATGCCGTCGCCCCCGGCAACCTGCGCCCGAGCCCCCCCCCCCGCCCTTCGCCGCCGCCGCCGCCGCCGCCGCCTCCCATTGGCCGGGCGCAGAATCGGGCGGGGCTCGGCTGGGCGGCGAGGGGGCGCTCAGGGCCCCAATGGACGCGCGCCGCGCTCCCCCCCCCCGCGCCGCTCCCGACCGGGCGCCGCCCCGAAAAACTCCGCCGCGCGCCCGCCCCCCCCCGCAAGCGCCGCGGCGAGCGGAGGGCGCCTCCCTGGCAGCCCGGGGGGCCTCGGCCCGGGACCCTGGCGAGGGGCGGCGTCTGGGCGTTGCCGCCTTTCGGGCCGGGAGGTCGCGAGAGCCGCGCCGCTTCTGGGGCCCGCCGCTGTCCCGCCGGGGCGTGAAGGGGCAGCGGAGGCAGCGCAGCGGTTGGGCCGGGTTGCCGGCCTGCCGGAGCCGGGAGGAGAAGCTCAGGCTCTCTGGACGGGATGCCGACCGAAGGGCGTCCCGCGAGGGGCTCCAGCCCGCCAAAGCAGCGCCCGAAGGCAGCGCCCGGAGCCGCGGAGGGAGGCCAAGAACCGAGGGGGCTGCGCCGCCGCTGGAGGCTTGGAAGAAGAAGAAAAAGGGCCTGGGCAGCGCCTTGTCGGGAATGGACTGGAGCCTCCCGCTTCAGCTGGGGTTGGGCTAGAAGACCTCCAAGGTCCCACCCGACTCGGTTATTCTGCTATACCATAAGGGAAATAGGAACGCCGGACTTGATACCCGTCGGAGATCCAAGTGAGCCTAGTTGGAGCTTTGTGACCCAAAGGTTAGAGGGGGGACCTAGAGGGTCTTCCTACCAGAGAAGAAGAGGTCGAAGGGGTCGAAGCGCTAGCAACTTTGCGTGGGAGAGTGACATGTCATACCGGAATTGAATATAATGCAGACAGAAGCAATAGAACAAAATCAAACAGTGTCTTAGACTTTTAAGAGAGTTCATTTCAACATCTTTGTAGAGCTTGGGAAGGACTCCCTGGGTTAAAACCTTAATGGGAAAAATAACTCAAAAAGTTTGGGAAACTGAGAAATGAGATTATAAAAGTCCTGTTTTGAACAGTAACACTGAAAAATAAAGAGATGCCGGAAGATACCAGCATGGTTGCATAAAGAACTCTCTAATAACAAAAGACAGAAAAAAACAAGTATAAAACTAACCAAGGCACAATATCAGCATGTGGCCCAAGCTGCTACAAAGATGGTTGGACCAGTTCACACACACACACACCTCACCACCACCTTTTGTGTAAAGACAAAGAAGGAGTCGAGCAGTTTTTCTTTCTTCCTGCTGTCCATCACTTCTTTGCCATCTTCCATTAGTGGATTGTTTCCTTGACTTTTTCTTATTTTTTTTTAATGTTGAAATAAACTTTTTAAAATTATTTTTGAAATTTGTTGCAAGTCTTAGCTCATTCTGAGCCTGGGTTTTCCCGACCATCTTTGCAGGTTCAAGTGATGTGCTGGTATTCCGCCTCTTTCTATTTTTTTTATACTTGTCCTTTTTATCTTTCAGTTTATCGTAATTTTTTGTGTGCAATCATACAGGTTTCTTCTTGGATTTGTTGTTTTCCTTTTTCAGTGGTGGTGTGCTGGACTGAGCTTTTATGATCACATTTTTCAGAGTTTCCCATGCTTCTTGTTTTTCCCTTTAGGATTTTCATCTGTGGAATCTTTCCTAGTCTCTCTTTGAGTTTGTTAAAAAGAGTTCTTTTAAAATGTAAGACACTGGTTGGATTATGTTCTATTGCTTGTGTTTGCATTATGAATTCCAATATGTGGTCACTCTTGCACAAAGTTCCCATAACTTTAACCTCTTCTTCTATTTCATCTGTTAGTAAAAATTAAATCTGCCCCTCTAGTTCCCTCCTCTACCTTTTGGGTGACGAAGTTGTCAGCTATGTTCATAAGCGGATCTGTTTGATCTCCCTCTAAGTGCAGAGTTTGTCTCCCAGTTGATGTCAGGGCAGTTAAAGTTCCCCATTACTTCAATGGTGTGTTTTCTGCACACTTCAGTTAACTAATTAGCAAAAGGTTCATCTATTTCCTCTGCTCAGTTGAGTTGCCTATAATACATACTTACCACAGTCATTCTTTCCCCCCTTTTCTATTAACCCAAATGCATTCAAGGAGGAGACATTAGGGCATGTTGACAGGTGGCCATGCAACTTCTCTTCCAGCAAGGAGAGCCCCACCACCACCTCCCAGAGTCTGTTGCATTGGTGAACAACTCTTAATGTTAAGACACTTTTCCTGAAGGATAATATAACGAAATGTACTATATACTGTAATAAACTTATTTCTTGCCCTAGCTTCTTGGACAGTGATTCAAACCCATCTTCCATATGGCAACCTTTTAGATTCTTGAAGATAGCTATCTTTTGATCATCTCAAGGATAAATATACCCAGGTTCCCCAATCATTTTTCATTCCAGTTGGTCAGTGTCCCCCCAATATATAGTGCCCAGTGCTGGACATATCTTCTATATGTGGACTGACATGCACAGGGAGAACAATAACTTCCTTTGATCTTGTCTTTATTGAAGATGCGTTTTTCTTTTGCAGCCAATCCTTCCGAGTCTCTGATCCTAACCTTTTTGTAAATGCTACTATTGTCTTCCTTATGCACAAAGCCCTCTCACCCACTCACATTCTCTCAGCCCTAGGAGGGAGGGCAGTGCAAGCCACTTCTGAAATCTTGGCAAGGAAACTGCAGGGATGAGTCCAGGCGTGTCCATTCCCTGCATCTAAGGTCACACCTTCAGTTTATCCTTCTCAAATGTAGGGTTTGTCTACGATCTGGTTGAAATTCTGCCCTTTGCTCCAAATCATTAACATCCTTCTAAATCTCTAAGGTATTTGCTATTTTCCCCATATTTTCTTTGAAAGTTGTTCATTTTATTTTTAAACATATTATTGAAACAATATATAAATATACGGAGTATCGGTGGGCTGTTGAGGCTATTTGGGCACGATGATTCAGTCGCCTGTGTAGCCATCTGATACAGCGCAGCATGGCCCGTCTTCTGCCATCTTCTACAGCAGGGCTGTGGTAGGGCTGCCCAGGCACACTACGTCCACTGCAGTTCTTCACCCCAGTGATTTGGGGTTTTCTAAAAGATCACTCAAGATGCTTTGCTCTTTCTGACAGACCCAAAGTGGCTTGAGAAGGTCAAGTCAGTGCATTAGATGATTAAGGGGCTGGAGGCTAAAACCTATGAAGAACCGTTCTAATCAGAAGGGACTTTGGAGGTCTTCTAGTGCTAGTCCGGCCCCCTGCTCAAAGGAGGAGATCATTTCAGACCAGTGACTGTCCCGTCTCTTCTTAAAAGCCTCCAGTGATGGAGCCGCCATGATTTCTGGAGGCAACTTCGGTGGCCCTGGTTCATTGTCTTCCTGGTTGTGAGGAAGTTTCTCCTCCATTCCAGGCAGCTTCCGTACTTGGTTAGTTTCTATCCCTTGTTTCTTGTCTGGACTTCAGGTGCTGAGCCCCCTCCTCTTTGGGGCGGCCCCTCAAATACTGGAACCCTGTCACCCCTGGTCCTTCTTTGCTCCAGGCCAGCCAGACCCAAATCCTGCATCCGCTCGTCCTATGTTTTGGTCTCCAGGCCTCTGATCATCCTGGTTGCTCTTCTTTCTCTCTCCCACAGAGAGGAGGGATGGAGTTATGCTCCGAGGCACATGGGGGCACAGCGTGAAATTGGTCGGAGAGAGAGCCAGCCTAGAAGTAAAGAGGCCTTTTCCAACAGTCAGAACAAGGAATCAGTTGGACAGGTTGCCTCTGGGAGTTGGCTTTGCTCCATGGCTGGAGGTTAGAGGGGGCAGCCATTGGACTGGGGTTGGACTAGACCACCTCTGGGCTTCCCTTCTCCTGTCACCTTCCTCCACGCCTGCCTCCCCACCAGGCAGGGCCTCGCGGAGCAGGGAGGCTGCCAGGCGCAGAGCTCAGCTTTAATACAGCATAAATCATCATCACGGGCCGCTGCCGAGAGAGAAGCGGGGCCGAGGCCGCTCCAGCCCCGAGGGCCGCGCCGGGTCCCTCCGGCCGGGAAGAGGAGGCCGGGGCGGCGCGCTTTCTCCCGGAGGAGGGCCGGGGGTCCCAGGCAGGCGGGGCCTCCGCGGGGCGGGCCCGGCGCTCCCCTTCCGGCCTCGGCCTCCTCCTCCTCCTCCCCGGAGCTGCGAGGCCGGCATGGCGGCGGCGGCGGCGACGGGCCCGGGCGCGCTGGTGAGCGGGGGCCGCGAGCGGGGCTGCGGGCGAGGCCTCCGGGGCCTCCGGGCGCCGCCTCACCGCCTCTCCTCCTCTCTCCCCGCAGGGCGCCCGGGAAGCGGCCGAGGCGGCCCGCGCGCTCTCGCTGCCGGCCGAGGCCTTCGGGAACGACGTGAGTGCCGGGCGGGCGGGGGGTGTCCGGGGCGGGGGGCGGCGGGCGGCTCGGGCTCCGCGCTGACGGCTCTCCTTCCCTCCGGCAGCCGCGGCTGGAGGCGGCCTGGGCCGAGCGCGCCTTCCAGCACGCCCAAGTCTACTTCCACGTGAGTCCGGGCGGGGCGGGGGGGGCCCCCGGGGCGGGGGGGGGGGGGGGCGTCCGGCCGAGGCCCCCGCTGACCCTCCCGGCTCCCCCGCAGCTGCTCTCGGCCGCTGACCCCGCGGGGCTGAGGCTCACCCGGGCCGACGACCGGATCTACGCCGCCTTCCGCCGGAGCTTCCCCGACCTGCGCGTCGACCTGCTGGACGTGGAGGCGCTCAAGTCGGAGCCGGCCAAGGAGGTGCGGGGAGGGGGGGGGGGGGGGGGGGGGGGGGGGGGGGGGCCCCGGGGGGTCCCCCCGCCCCCCCCCTCCCCCCCCCCAGAAGTGGCGCCCCTTCTGCCTGCAGTTCGAGGGGGCGGTGGAGGACTTCAACCTCGGGACCCTCCTGCGCCTCGACTGCCGCCGCGGCTACTCGGAGGAGAACTCCGTGCTGGGTGAGCGCCGGGCGGGCGGGCGGGGGCGGCTGGGGGGGTCGCCGGGGGGGGGGCTTTGTCCGCCGTGACGCCCCGCCTGCCTCGCCTCCTCTCCGCAGCGCCGCGCATCCAGTTCCTGGCCATCGAGATCGCGCGCAACCGCGAGGGCTGCAACGGCGCCGTGTATCGCAGCGCAGCCGCCGCCGCCGCTCCAGAAGCCGAGCCGGACCCGGCCGGAGCCCGCTGAGCGCCTCGCCGGACCGGACCAGAGTCGTGCGCGGATCTCCGCCCCCCGCGGGTGGCCTGGGACGGGGGCGAGCCTCTCTCCCTCCCGGCCCTTCGCCTTTGTACGGGCGGCCCCCGGAGGTCGCCCCGCACCCCGCTTGTAAAGAAGGGCGAATCCCCAGATTGCCGTTTGTCTCGCTTGTCTTCCTTTCTAACGCTGGGCCCCCATTTGCGGACCCTCCTCTGCACCGGGAGGCCCCTCCGGTGGGGACCCTGCACCCCCCCCCCCGCCCCCAGTGACGCTCTGGCCTCGACGCACACAGTTCAGTAGAAACCACTTTTAATTTATTTGCAGCCACAATGCTTACACTGTATGCAGCAAACATCCGTACAAATCATCATTCAGCAACCTGGTCGCAGAAAAAGGACCCAGCACACAAATCGCCAGAGGGAAGGATCCCCCTTCCCTCCCCCCCCCATCCACGAGGTGCTATTTGGGAAGAGAAACCGGGGTTCACAATTAGATCTGGGCTTGTGGGGGGGGGGGCAGAAAACTAGCAGCCAGAGGGCAGGGCAGCCACAAGGGAAATCCCAGCCTCCCCTGTTGCTTTTGCTAAACTGGACACGGAACTAACGTTCCCCCAATTTCAGTGGAAAAGGAGGTTTGTCCGAAGGATTCGGGGAGCGCTTTGTGGGAGAGGCTGCCCACCGTCTCCAGAGCTCCAAGAGGCTCCGTGAACAGGGGTGCAAGCGAGGGGGGGGGGGGCTCAGAGAGGGGGCTGCTGCCAGAGCGCCAAGGCCTCCCATCTCCCAAGAGAGGGTGCGGGTGTGTGTGTGTGTGTGGACACACTTGGCAGGGCAGGAGTGTGGCATGGCTTTGAGCTCCTAAGGGGGGAAGGTGGGGAGGGATGGTCTAAGTTGAAGGGGGAGATAAGAAAAATATACATTTGGAATTTTACACTTGTGGCTCTACACTAGTTACTAAATATAACTCTGTACTCTCACGCCCCCTTGCCCGGTCCTGTGGCCAGTGGCCGGGAGACTCTCCACTCGCATTCCACCTCGCTCTAGCACTGGTGCACTATGTAAAAAGTTCAGTCACGCTTTTTTTTTTTTAAACTTGAGTCAATATAAACCTTGTTCAAAATGTTATGAAAAAATGTACATGTTTATACAAGGCAGGCTGTGGCAGGACACAGGGTTCCTCTGACATTCACACAGGGAGGTGCCAGTGGCGCCTCCCCAAGGAAAAAGCCCCTCTCCGAATGAACCTTCCACGCCCCCCCCCACGCCCCCCCTGCAGCCTAAGCCCCAAGGAGGACCGGCAGGGATCGGAAACGCCCGTGTGTCTTTCCATCGGAAAAGTTAGCCTCCTCGGCCCAGAGAGCAGCTCCTGGCGAGACGTCAGCTCATCATGTCGTTGCTGTTTACCCCGTAGGTGGAGTTTTTCATGGAGTCGTTCACTTCTCGACGAAACGCAGAAAGATTCTGTGTAAACCTGGCAAAGAAACGGGTGTCATGATGGGGGGCAGACGGACCTGCCTTTTGGCCCAACAGCAGGGCGGCATCGGACGGAGCTGCTGCGCTCCTTCTCGGGGAATCGCAGGAGAAGCGGCCGAATCCAAGCGCCCCGTTTCCTAACGCTCTGAATTACAGGCCGCAAGGGAGGGGCAAGCTGGGTCTCCCCTCCTTCCGTTCCCTTGGAAACTTGGATTTGGAACAGGAGCAAAGTGGACGGGAAGGAGCCAAGAGGGGCCGGAGACAGTCCACGGGGGGGAGGGACCGTGCTGGGCGGGGGGGGGGGGGGGGTGCCACTAGGCGGGGGGGGGGACTACTCAAAGGAGAGGGTGGTCCTCTGAGCCAGAGAACCATTTTTTTTTCATTCCATTAAATTTAAGAGAGGATTTGCAGCCTCGGCACAGGGAGCTGTTGTGCTGGCCCCGTTTCCCGCCCTGTGGGTCAGGAGAGATGGTGGAGCCAACCTGACAGGCTGCAGGTGGTCCTGGCCTACTGGGCAACCCCTCCCCCCCCCCCCCCGCCCATCCTGGAGTCCAGGTGCTACGCGATGCCGCCCTGGTCCTCCTTCCGCCTTTGGTGAAGATGATACTGACCTATCGCGATTCTTGGTCAGCAGATTCCGCTCAATGCCCTCCATGAGATTTTCAAAGCAGAGGTGCATTGCCTGTTGCTTCTCGGGGGGCTGGCTGTTGACTATGCCGTTCCTTAGATCTGAAAAATACTGCAAGGGGAAGGTCGACGCTTGTGGGCTGTCCAGGGCGAAGGGCCAGCCCACAGCAACCCAGCCCGCTCCCTCACGAGGGGCCTCACCTTCTCATTGAGCAGGATCAAGCCCAGCAGAGGCCGGGACATGGACCACTGGTTCCTGCAGTCCTCAAATATGATGATGTTCAGCACCGTGGAGAGCATCTGGAAGGACCAAGCACAACCCCGTCACCGGCACACAGGCCTACCGAGCTCACAGCGGGGCCCGTGGGGGCCTACGGGGAAGGCGCAGTGGGCGAGGGGCCACAGGGCAGGCAGCTTATCCAACGAGCAGCAATTTGGACGGGGGGGGGGAGAGGTTTGGGGCAGGGGAACCAACTCAAGGTAGTCAAAGGAGCATTTCACCCCTACAAAGGAGCGTGAGACATTGGGAGGGGGAGCCGAGAGCGCCTCCTCGTCCGAGGAAGAGAAGGTGTCTTCCAATATCTGAGTGGCTGGATTGGGAACACACTCCCCACAAAGCCCAACAGGTAGGAAATTAGCCAGAGCACTTAGACTTGTATCCCGCTTCAGGGTCCTCTCTAAGGGGTTTACACAGCCAGCCTCTTGCCCCCAACCATCTGGGTCCTCATTTTACCGGCCTCGGAAGGACAGAAGGCCGAATCCATCTTAGTAAGTACTTAGTAAATAGCAAGGGAGTCCAACTGATTATTCTATGACTTTGGGCTATGAAGGCCACGTGGGGTACAGCTCTTAAAAACCTGGCCATACTCGAGCACCTCATTTGCAAAGTAGAGAATTTGCATGCTGACCAGGAAGAAGTGGCCAGAACAGAATATAGATTAATTAACTGCTTCAAATGAAATGTATCAAGGTTGCATATTGCTACCTATTCCACAGAGATGTGAAAGGCATTTTGAGAAAAGCTAGACTGAAAGAAAAAAAAATTGAAATGAAGATGGTTGGAAGAAATATTCTGAGATGCAAGGAATCTGGTCACAGCATAGGGCTGCGCAAGTTGGGCTTCTGGTAGGAGGAACGGGAAAATCCAGCCCTTTGAACGCTGAGAAAAGAGATTGGGGGCATCCTGAATTGCCAGAAGGGCAAATAGTTGGAGCAAAGCCACTAAGCTCACTGGAAGCATTGAAAACCCGGTTAACGCTTAAATATCTTGGCGGGGGAAGCAAGCAGCTCTGGTGAAGGCTATCCTGGATGGAGGGCAGACGGACCTGCCTTTTGGCCCAACATCTGGGCGGCATCGGACGGAGCTGCTGCGCTCCTTCTCGGGGAATCGCAGGAGAAGCGGCCGAATCCAAGCCCTGGCAAGCGCCCCGTTTCCTAACGCTCTGAATTACAGGCCGCAAGGGAGGGGCAAGCCGGGTCTCCCCTCCTTCCGTTCCCTTGGAAACTTGGATTTGGAACAGGAGCAAAGTGGACGGGAAGGAGCCAGGAGGGGCCGGAGACAGTCCACTTTCTGGCCATGGGGGGGGGGGGGGGGGGGGGGCCGCGCCGCGCGCCGCGGTCGGGGGGGGGGGGGGGGGGCGGGGGGCTCCACCTGCAACGAGACACTGGTTGCTGGGCACCCTCATTGGGCCCAGGGACGTGTGCTTGCAAGCAGTTACGGACAGACGATCCTGGCACATGGTTGGCCTCGGGGCCAGGGGGAGCCAAAGACAGCTAAGCCTTTTCTGCAGAAGAGTCACTTCACCCCCAAACAAATATTGAAAGTGAGGAGATGAAAAGGGCTGCGGTCGTTTCCTGGGGACAGAAGAACCGCTCCCTGGGACTCTGGTGTGTAAATGTTCCAGGCAAGCGTTTTAGGCTCACCTACGTTACTCAGCTAAAGGGCTGTGGCCCCAGAAGAGTCCCCTTCCTCCTGCCCTCCTTGTCCTGACCTGTTGAATCATCTCGGGGTGCTGCTGCATGATGTGGAGGAACCGGTCGCTCTCCTGGGTCAATGGGGCAGACCTCTTTTTGGTGCTGCGGGACAGCTGCTTGAAGAGATACGTGACAATGTGGTCTAAGCAGGAGCAGCAGCCAGTGCAAACCATGGTATCTGCCAGGAAGAGGGAAGGGACAAAGAGAAAGGAGGCCGGAGTTACGTCGGGTCAAACATTCCTGTTCGATTAGCTGGATGGTCTCCTTGGCCAAAAAAACCCGGGGGAGCAGCAGCAGCAGCAGCAGCCGCCGCCTCAGGCCAGCCAAGCCAGCTGTGCCCACCGAGGACTCCTATTCGCTTGGCAGGATTTCTTAAACCCTTCAGGTCCTGCAACAGGTTGAATGCCTTGTGCATCACTCAAGGCAAAGTAAGGCGTTGCCTTAAGTTTCATAGCAAGTGTAGATCATTCTGCCAAGACATTGGGTTCCCTGAGAGCCACCCAGCCGTGAAAGAGCCTCAGGGGCCGTGGAATTTCCATGCAAACCGTTCTAGGACCGAACCATGCAGAATCAGGGGCGGCTCTGTCTACCGGCCGAAGACCCAACCAAATGATTGGTGTGAACCCTCCCCCTGAAGGGCTGAGGGTCAGCCGTTGCGGCTGCCAACTCTTCCCGAGAAAGCCACTGGAGGGAATGAAGATCCGATCACTCGGGGTTGCTCTGTCACCCCCTTTGCCCCCCTGAGAGGTTAAGGAAACGGTCGTCCTTCCCAAAAGGCCAATCCTTCATGACAAAAGGGAGACACCAAACCAGGAACTATGAGGGAATTAAGGGAACATTTAGATGTTCTACTCCTGGGTATGGTATCTAAGCCAGGTAGCTGGCGTCTCGTTCCTTTGATGCTGCCGGAGAACAACAAAACCACGTTGAAAGACTTTCGCAGCCCCAAAACTTCCCAGTAAAGACCACTGCACTCACTCACCTAGCGCTGTGAGACCTTCTGAAATGGAAGACAGAATATACATGATTACGTGGGGCTCCAGGCTAGCTATAAA